CCACGCTATGTGCATATACACCCCATACTGTGTGTGACATGTACACCACACACTGTGTGCATATACACCCTACACTGTGTGCATATACATATACACCCCACACTGCATACACACATAAACCCCAGTGTGACATATACACCCCACAATGTGTGCACGTATACACCCTACACTGCGTACACACATAAACCCCAGTGTGTGACATACACACCCCACACTGTGTGCACACATAAACTCCACTGTGTGCACATATACACCCCACGCTGTGATATACACACCCACACTGTGTGCACATATAGATCCCACACTGTATGTATATACACCCCACTGTGTATGACATACCACACATCCCACAGTGTGTGTACATATACACCCCACACTGTCTGTGCATATATAACACACTAGACTGCTCTCTGAAAAACAGAGCTAAAAGTAGAGTTAAAGGCCATTCCACAGAACTGTTATTCAGCCACCCCTTTGAGTCCAAAACATAAATTTCACATTTCCTTTCTGTCTTTTTGGTTGTGGTCACTTTTCTTAAGCCAACCATGCTCAGTCCCCTCCCAGCTAACTGCCAACCAAACCCCACATGATTCTGAGCCTTCAAACACCATTTCTTTCTCCAGGTAGGTACCTACATCTCGCACATAACTGCAAAGTGATGAATACTGCCCCCAACTTCAAACATCGGGGAGGAAGGCACAGGGAGGCAGGCAACAGGAAGGGAGGTGGGAAGGGGAAGGGAGGCAAGGAGAAAATAAAGACCACTGCCAGTTGGCTGTGCACTCGCTTTCGATACTAAGAAGTTAGAGCCATTCAACCCTGTAATTATTGCCAGGATTAAAAATTTGTTACTCACATAATCATGAAAGGCTTTTGCTTCACTCGAATGTTCACAAGTGTCTCTCCTTTCAGGAGCTGCACAGTAAAGGTCCCAGAATACACTGCAAATAGAAAAACAAAGTAAGATCAGGTTACTAATTATTACTTGTGTACACAACGGGAAGTACAGGGTACATGGTACAGTACCAGGTCTCCTGAAGGCTCTACCCTACCTTACAGCACTCACTGGACAAACTGAGCCCCTAAGACAAGCAGATCCAACCTCGCCTGGCAGCTCCTCCACACTGGGCGCCTCACCTCAGTGACATGGCTTTGTGGTTAGTAGACACCAAAGTCTGGAAAGGTCAACACAACCCACCCAAGGGTGTCCACACAGGAATCTGGAAGGAGAGCCTGTCCATCTCATCTGTGTCCTTTTCACCCCAAATCAAAATGGCCACATTTTGTAAAAAGGTTAGGCTGGCAAAGTCAGGGCACAACTATGATTCATCTGCACAGAAATCTGGGTGACTCCGGTAATGAAGGGAACCTTATGGGTTCCTAATCCCATCCACCGAAGAATACTTGTCTGTGACTCAGAGAGGAAGGGAAGCTATGACAACCAAGCATCTTATCCTCTCTCACTGAGCCCAAGGGTCTCTTCAGACAGTGCTGTCCAGTACAGAATTTGGGGGTCGGGGGGAGGGAGTGTGTGGCACACCGCACTCCAGACTCTCCGTAATTCTATATGGTCACTCCAACATTCACAAGAACAGAAACACAAGTGGCTACAGAGTACTCTGCAAACACAGGGCCTTAGAAATACTCCATACCAGAACCAAGGCCCAGCCAGAACCAGCTTGAAGGGCACAGTGGGCACTGGAACTGAGGTCTGATCTGACTTGCAGGGCGGTCCTGGCGATCCCATCCCAGCCAGCTCCACTGTCACCAGGCAAGCACCACCCTCAAGGTGTGCCTATAACAAAACCCACCCCATCCGATCCGAGCCCCCGGAAAACAGCCAGCATTTGTTCAGTGTCAAAGCACACACAGTGAGAACTCTAACAATCCAGACTACAACTGCTCACAGCCACCACAACCTGAGCCCCAGCACAACAAGCCTTCCATTCCCGGAACAAGAACAGACCCCAGGAGCAACAGGAGAACCAGGCCTTGCGTAGCTGCAGAGGGAGGTTGGGGTCACTCTTCCCTCCTCCACAACTGCCCCCTGGAGCACCACACACAGCCGAATTTTGCAAGATGCCAAATTCCCAGCACCTTCAGAATAACTCTCACTCCCATGCCCAAGTTCCTACAAGATCCAGGGCCATCAGACCTGCCAATCCCATCCACACACTGGCCTCCAAAGCCAGCCACAGCCAACCAACCTATCACCCACTCCCGCAGGTGGAATCCTTGCGCCACACCAGCCGCCTCCTCGGACCAGGCAGTTGGGAGGCTGGCAGAAGTCATTAAAAACTCATTTTCTCTGCACAAGTTAGAACAGACACTTCATCCTCCCGCTGTTCAAAGAGACTTGAGACAGTAACCTGAGCTGGCAGCCAGGTAAATGCTAACATCCCAACACTGCGTCTGCCTCAACTACACCATCTAAGGCCGTCCTGCTCCTTTCCTTCTCAACAGGACGGGAAAGACTCCACTGATCGGCCCCAAAAAGCACCCAGGTCACACACTCAGGACAACTTGCTTCAGGCTTGGACCCTAAGCTTCCCTCCAGCCTGCAGAAAAGACCACAGGCTGCTTGGGCCTGGAGAAAGGGTCACAGATAAGGAGAGCCAGCCCCCAACAAGCTACAGGCATCCTGCCAGGCCACCTCTGGCTGGTTAAGGTTCTCGGTAAAATAAGGCTTTGTGGTTGCAGGGATGCTGGGGGGTGGGGAAGCCAGAGGAAAGGAAGGTCCAGTCAGTCTGAATCAGTGTCTCTACAGGAAGTGCCGGCCTTCTTGCTTTTCTCGGGGTCCCTGGAAAAGGCCCAGTAGATGTCTCTCAAGGTTTGGCGTTTAAGGAAGAAAACCTAAGGGACAGGCCGGTTGCAGAACAGACCTGGTGTCCCCTGCCCCCGCCCTGCCCCCACTCCTCTAATTAAAGCAGCATGCAGGATTGACAAAAACCCTTCTAACTCTTTCCAAGCCCCCTGCCTAGTGCCCCAGAGTGAGATGGAAAAGTAACACAGGTTCCACCCCAGCATAGCAAAATTGAGTCAGCTCCCCACGGGCAGAGAAACACCGGCAAAAACTTCAGGCTGCAGCCTCTTCTGCCCGTGCTTCCCCGCCAAAGCTGATCAGAGCACCCAGAGGTGCCCTGCTCCGTGGAAAGCAGAGGCTGAGAGTAGAAAGGTCTGCCCCAGGCCCCGTCTTTGTTCACCAGGACCCGGGCCACAGAACAAAACACACACAAAACTATCACACAAACTTACCACCACCACGAGTGCAGAAACCCAGGAGGTTCTCCCAGTGTGATGTTTTTTTCCCATCGAATCTAGAAAAGAGGGGACAGAGGCAGCTTAGAGGGGCAGAAAGGAGGGGGGCCGCAGGGCCTTCCCCAGCCAAAAGCCTGTGAAGACCAACTAACAATAAATGCCAAAAGGTGATAAAAATTCAAAATGGTGGCCACAGTGGCTGCTCCTGAAAACAAAGGCTCTAAGAATAGTGGGGAGGAGGGGGTGTCCAGAAGCTGGATGCTGAGGAGCCCCACTCACCTCCGATAAGAAGGTCTGTGCAGATTTCTGTGCTCCGACGTGCAGTAAATATTCGTAGACGTATAAAGCTAACCTGAAAAGTGAGCAGGGGCAGAGAGGGAGAGAGGAGAGAGAGGAAAGGGTCAGATCACACTGAGGCTCGCTCTGGACCTTGCCAGTCGGACTCTCAGCCCGGTCTGTGCCATCCCATTGTGGCCATAACAAGAGAAAAGTACCTATCACCCCAGACAGGACCCCGGTCAGAACAGCTAGTGGGTGGGTACCACAGACAAACTGCCCAAAGCCGCGGGAGCTGAAAAACGGTTCCCAAACTTGAACTTCCAAGTGGCACTGGGACCAAGCCCACATAGGTCTCGCAAACTCGAAAGCCACAAGAGCCCTGAACCACTCTCCTTTTCCCAGCCCACTTCAGCTCGCTGCCGTAGCTCTGCTTCGGGGTCCGGGGAGACTCAGCCTCAGCCCGGGTACTTGGCGCGCTCTGGAGAGGGCAGCAAAGCGCCGCCCTCACCGTCTCCCCCCCAAACAACTGTCCCCCAAGCCTGGGGCCAGGCCGGCGCCGCCTGCCCAGCCCAGCCCGGCGTCCCGGAGCGCACCGGGCAGGCGGCAAGGCCGCTGGCTGGAAAGGGAGAGCGCTCCTGG